TTAACTATATTCAAGGAAATTATAAAGTTTTAAGAAGAAAAGTGAACTTAAAAAGTTTTTGTAAGTGAGGTATTGCTTTATAATCTGTTGTTTGCAAATTAACTAAACTTAAAAAGCTAAAACTAGAAAAAAAATGTAATAAACATAATAAAACTAATGTGTGTTTAACAAAAAACTAAAAGATTAACAGATTATTGACTATACAATTATAAGTGATATATATTCTGATAATCTGATTCTTCTTAACACATCTAACAGTTTTTTGTTAGATTAATAATTACTTCATATTTAAGGTTTTAAATAATTGAAACATAAAATTGTTTAAGTTTTTATACACAAATAATCAACAGTTTATGATAGTGTATTATCATACCTCAGGTTGTACTGATAAATCCATTGTTACCAATTGCATAGCTTTAATTATATTTCATACTTAGCAGAAACGTATTTTTTCTCAAAATTATTTAAACTTACCTAAGTTGAGAAATATGATTGCCGATAGTATAATAAATGGTGCCGACTTTCCAATTAAATCATAAAGTATGCCACCAAATGGATAACCCAATAATACTCCCAACGCAATGCTACCCAAAATGATGCCCATTACTTTCGAACGACGTCCCTCCTCTGGATAACTCTACAACATTTTCATTAGTTATTTTGTTTCTTTCATTTAGTGGTTGAAGATAAAATTTGCTTCTTTAAATATAAACTTACTTGTGCCACTAAACTCATGCCACAGACTCCAATGCAAGCCGAACCAATACCTTGTATAGCACGTGCAAGTAAAAGCGTAAAGTACGCTTCTCCAATAGCGAAAACTAAAAGAAAAATGGAGTACAGATAATAGATAATAGAACAAAGTAAATATTCTATTTAGATTTTTATTTCAAAATAGAGTAAAGTAAAGTGACGAACCTAAGGATGACACCAAGAGAAAAAATGTTCCGGCAACTATGGGTACACGATAACCGAAACGTTTGCTAGATAAGTTACCCACAATTGGATTAAAAATCAATTGAACTAATGCTTTCATAGCCAACAAAATACCAATTGAACCATTCTCACTCGAGAGTGTATCCATGGTGTTTCTTCCGTTTTTTCCTTCATCACGTCTGCCATTTGACGAATTGTTAACGGTATTGTTGTTTCCGGCTGTTATATTTTTTATGGTTGTGCCATTTCCGCTACTCACCAGATGTTTAATTTGCCTTTGTGCTGCTGTTGTGGCTGCAGAGGCAGACTTGTCCTCGATTGCTGTAGGTGGTAGTGTGAAGTTCACCATTGATTTTCCTGCGGGAATGGGATGTTTTGTTAAAACTGCTTGTAGATTTGGCGAACCATCCAGATTTCTATATGCTATATTTTGTGGTAATATTGCGCTGCCACTTTGACTTGTGGCAGCATTAAAACCGCCGACTGTGTCCAGTGAAGTATAATGTGTTTTATTGTCAATGGAGGCTAGATAACCCGGTAAAATAGGCACTGAAAATAGAACAAAAAAGCAATTAGTAAAGGAAAAAAATATGAAAAAATAGATAATCGATAATTAGAATTTTGATTAATTTTGTGTATTAGAAATATTCTGAACTGAAAGAGGCTTGTTAGGGAAAATAATAGAAATATTTGAAAGTTTCAATGTTAATTATTAGTAAAATAATCTTTTTTATAGGTTAAAAAATTACAGGTAAAGGGTACATTAAATGTTAAAGAGTATTTTTAAAACCCTCGATAAATTATGATGAAAATAAATTTTTTCAGGGCCATCTTTGTGGAAAAACTAAAATATAGTTCTCCTTTTTATGTATAAACATTACAAAACCATTATCTTTGATATTTTAATAATGATTTTACAAAGTTTTTTGCAACAGAATGTAGATATTTGGTGACCATTAAAAACGCTAGCCCCGAACGGAATCACTTTCATACATAAATATATATATATATTTAATCAATGGGATGAAAAGTCTAGATATGCTTTAAAAACATCATGTTGAAAATAGTTTCACCCGTTTTACAATATATTAATGTGATTCAAGAATTTTATCCGTTCATCTCTATTTTAAAATCAATGACACCAACCTATCAATCATAATAATCTGTTTTTAAACGCAGTCAAGATGGTATCGAAGCAATGTTTTAGAAGTTAACACAATGTATTGCATATTCAGATATTTGTACATTAAAAATATAGTTAATAGTTTGCATTTTCTCCAGAACTCCTGATTTTTATAAAATGAATGAAACTGCAGTACAATACACAACGACATGTATGAGTAAATGATCTATACTTTATTTCTTTACTATATAAACTGAAGCGAACTCTCTTGACATGTCGCAATAAATTCAGTAAAAGTGGCTTAGAAATGTACTCCACTAAAACATGTATATCAAAAAGGATTTACAGCCTTTGTACAGTTTTTTCAATACTTTTGGGTAATTACGTGACGGTCATGTGGACCTTGTAGACGATGACTAAATACCGTCATCTAAAACCATACGTAATTAATAAAACATCGAGCTAGTCAACAAAAATTGTCCAAAACCACCACTCTGTACTGAAAGCTACACCCTATCGACTTTTAAATAAAGATTTGAGACGGTCTATCCATCATACATTTTACACTGACAGATGATCTAAAAACCTAGGTGGTTTAGTATTGCAAAGACATGTTCGGAAGGAGCATTTATGTCTGTCAACCATAATAGCCATTGATATTGATGATTAAATTTGGTCTTTCCAATACGAACTGAAAACAAAATGTTAGCGTGTGGCATGGAGGTTATCAGAAGAGCAAAATGATTGTTTTCTGACATTTAAGAAATGCAAGAAATTGTTCATATTAAATATGTTCCATATGACATATTTGACCGGAATATTCAGAGTCAAGCAAATGTTTTTTGTTGCATTAAAATGTATCATCGCACAAAATTAACATGGTGCGTTAATTCTTGACAATAAAAAATGCATTATTTTTAATGATTATCCACTTTAATCACCTCATAAGACGTCGTGCGACTTTTGGCTAGTCCTCAAACTTAAATTAACTATGGAAAAAAATCGTGTTGGTACCAATCGTTTCGGTCATCCAAAAGGTTTCAACTTATAGATCTACTAAAAGTTATTCCAGTAACCTTATGTCGTTTTAAATTAAATTAAATTTTAATCATACAGCTGTTTCGAATATTGCCAAATATCCATTATTAGTGGTATTTTGGAATTGTTTCTTATATTTAATTATTTGTAAATAATTTTTGAGAACGCAAATACCAAGGGTTGAACTCGTACCCTGCCGAATTTGAAGCTTAGTGTCAGTGCTCAACTGACTCAAATCTTGCTGTGAAATTTAAAAAACGAATTCACTTGTTGTGTTATATCACAACGAATTCATAAACCAGTTGTAAAATAATTGAATTAATTAATTTTGAAATTGAATTTAATAATTAAAAAAAAAAAATTCCAAAAGACAAGAGATAACGGGTATTCGAAAAAGCGATATGGTCAGCCAAAAATTGAATTAATTAAAATATGAAAAAAATTTTTGTTGTTGCAATTCACTACTCAAAACTTCACGCTTAGTTACTAATAATATTTAGAGGATCATGGACTCAGTTTTAAAGATTATTATATAAACTGTAACCACATTTTGAAGCTTTACAGAAAATTGGGTTTTAATATGTTTTTTACATGATGACCTTTCTAAATATTGCCTCTAAGTAAGAATGTTTTAGCTTATCTTAGATCCATTTATATAGAATTGTGTAACATAAATGTCATGCAGATTGATTCAGTATCCATACAGTAGGAACAAAGGACAACTTAGTTTATATATTATAGATATATAGTTTATTGTGTTTAAAATTTATATTATTTTTATTATTTATGTAATATATTTAAATCAAACTTTAATATTCATCTATTGAACATATGTATTGTATATGAAAAATCCTCAGATAATTAATTTTATTAAAATATTTAATATTTAATTTTCTTTTTTCTTTTATATTAATATTTAATTAACACTTTAAGTATTACTTCTCTGGCATTTAATAAAATTCATTCTGAAATAAATGAGCCACTTAAGACAATCACTTGTTATTTATTATTTACAAGCGATGAGCCAAGGATATGACTATCATCAAAGCATAACATAAACTGTCTTTAGTTCAAATATTATAATATATATTAAATTATATTATATTAATATTAAATTACATAAATATTCTTCTTAGATAACTAAGAAAATATATTAAGTTAGTTACCAATAACTGTGAGTAAAACATTATCCAATAATAAAGCAAAGTAGACAATCACCGCAATCGTACAACGATTCGTATGACCAAAATTTGGAGTGGAGGAACGCGTTCCACTCGCAATATTCAAAGTAGTACCGCGATGAGTTTCACTTGAAACTGGTGTTTCCGGCGGAAATTCAGGCATTTTACTAACTACCGCAATACACTGTATCGTTTAATAAACCCAAACGACTCAATAAGAACCGACTATGAAAATCGTTTGCAACGACAGAGAGGTTTTCTCATTGACTTCAACTTGCCATATGCTACGATTTTGCATAAATTGATAATATATCACTTAACAATTATTTTGCCTTCTTCTATTCAATTATGGATACGGAGAATTTAACATATACAAGCTTTTGAACACACACACAAACACACGCGCACACGTATATGTAGTGCAATTAAAATTATTGCTCCTTTCGCCACGCAGCGCTCTACAGGTGTTATCGCCTCAAAGGATGTCACAATAATAAAATGTTTCAACATGTTGTTGCTGCAATTTATATGAAGTCTGCCAATTTCATTGATGGCATGAGTACTGCTTAATACTTCCCTCTCCGCCACTGCTTCGGTTGCTGTTTTCAGTGCTTACATTACTGCTGCCACAACACCGTATAATCCACATGACCTTGTTTGTATTAGTGGCTTGGCTTTCCATTGTGCACAAGTACAAGGGTTGGGTGGTGCTTTAAAAGATGCTGCTGCTGATATTGAGTTGTTAAAGGATTTTCATTACGGATTTGCTTGCTATTGGCAACATGTTGCTTGGCAGGCTTTTTTTTTTTTGGACCAACAAGTGTATCTTTGCTTTTGGACTTATTTTATTTGCTATTGTAGTAGTTGTTGTTGTGCTGTGTTATGTTGGACTTTTTTTTTTGTACTGCGAACGTGTATGTTTGGTTTTACTCATAAAATTTGATATTTTCTTTATTTATTTATTTTTATTTATATACATTTTTTTTTCTAGACGACTAGTCAACACAAAGCGTGTACGGGAAAGATAAGCTTTTAATAACTGCTGCTAGAGTGAAACTGCTCAGTTAGGAGGTTACACATATATTTTTTTTTGTGTAAAAATATTTTAAATGATTTCCACATCATTTATTGTTGCATACTGGCACGAGACAGAAAGCCTGCCACTGAACTATATAGTAGATATATGTATGTATGTATTTATGTGCAGATACGAATGTACTTAAATATATATTGAAGCATTAAATCAAATTTGCAGTTCCGTTCGAGAGTATCCTTCTTAATAGGACTTGAGATCACTTGGCAGAAATAATGAAATATAGTTCTGTATTCCATCATAAATATGTCTCATAAATAAGTTAATTTAAAGTTAATCTTATTATTATTATATTATTATTAAAAGCTTTGACGTGAAATCGCCCAACAGCCGGTACTACAGCCAGAAGAGTCCTGATTGTACCAATTTCACTATTCTCTGGTTAAAATATTGCAGTTTTAAAGGGATAATAAAAAGAGAGTTGTTAAGTGAGATATTTTATTTAATTTTAAGAGATATGAATTTCTTGCCCTCAGTAAATTTGATACGAATAAATATGTAAACATTTTTATTTTAGACATATTTTCACAAATTTTCCTCTATTTTTATCAAAAACAGTGCTTTTTCAAATATTTCTTAAAACTGTTTTCTCTAAAAATTGATTTTAAAAAAAAAATCTGTCTTTGACAGGAAAGGAAGTGAATTTGAGAAAGAATGGCAAAGACATAAATGTAAATATATTCATTCGAATCAGTTTTATTGAAGACACAAAATTCCTTTTTCTAAAAATGAGTACTTTTTTATTAATCCTTTAAAACTTCAATTTTGAAAGTTTAACCCGTTAATTTGAAAAATCCAGTAGTGTAGGAGAAAAACGCGTTGCAAACTTGAGCTTAGTAGAACTAAATAGAACTAAGTAGAACCTAAAATTATTAAAAAATAAAAAATTTAAAAGAATATTTCTTTTGTTAATCATATTAAAATTGTTTTTTTTTTGTAATACCAACATTTGCATAAATGTTAATCTGCATAAATCTATATCAATTAATAATATACAACTAATTTATATTAAATTAAATTAAATTATATAATCTAAATAGCTTGCTACTGTTAAAAATTTTAAAACTTTATTTTCCAAAAACAAAAAAAACATCCTTTAATAATTTGGAAAAAATCTGTCGAGAATACTGTCTCCACCTCATGCTGTGATTCTGTTGAATGAAATTTTTGTGAAAATCAGTGACTGGAATAAATCAATTACACATCATGTGATATATGTATATATATTTAACACAGTTTGTGATTTAACCTAGTTTTGTATCTATCTGTTAATCAACAAAGTACATTAAAGATATTCTCCTACTTATTTGTACTTATGTTTTGGTAAATTTAAATTTAAGGCATGTTTTTTCATATCATTTAGTTTAATTTTATATTTAAAATATATTATCAAAAAAATTTAATTTAAAGAATTTTATTTGTGTTTTTAATAATAAACATGTTTATATCTGATAATATAAATCTAATGACAATAAAGATTCTTAACAATGACAATCTAATCGTAAAGATTTCTATTTTAAAATAATACATGATACATACTGAAATATATTCAACAATATTATTTAGATAAAATAACTATTAAATGTTTTATATGGATAAATTGATGTTTTGATAAGGTGAAGTATATCAACATAGTTAATACATAATATGTATAATAATATGTATTGTGATCTACTGTATCTGCTTGCTAATTTTACTTTTAAAAATAAATTTATATAAACTGTTTTATATTAACTCGCACATATATATCTGTTTCACACATAAGGAAATATGTATGAGAATTAATCATTTATTTCCACAGAATTTTGCTTATTATTTTTTAGCTTTCTTTATTGTTTTTAGTGCAGTTAGCTGGCATATTTTTATTTTTTATATATATTATTTTCAACTCTTCAATTTAATTGTACATTTTAATGTATATAGTGATCCGGATTTGTATTAAAATTATTTAAGCTTAATATATAAATAGTGAAGATTTTTTGCTATGCATTTCTTTTAGTAATAAGGCAGATTCCGTGCTTCATATATATGTCACCAAACGAAGTTGTCACATAAGGGTTAGTGAAAGCTTACAAACAACTATAGAAAACCTTTTATACCCATAAAACGTCACTGTTTCAAGTTGCATTTGATATGGAGGTGTTATAGGCCAGTATTTGTTTGAAAATGACGAAAGTGTTATACAATCAATCAAATTTGATCTCTACGATCGCCATATAAATTCTTTATCAATTTTTTTGGGGCCACGCAGTGGATTGTGTTTATCCCAGTAATCTTATAATATCCATTTTTTTTACCTTGAAATTGAAGATATATTTGTGAAGGATATGTGATTTTCCATATGTGTAACTTCACCTTTTGGTGATGTGAATTATCCACCAAGATCGTGCGATTTCTTAAAACTGGATTTTTTTTGTGGCCACATAGTGAATTGTGTTTATCTCAATATTCTTCAAATTCTTCACTCTCGGCTATAATTATTGTCAGCTTTATTAGTGCAAGATGTCCCAAGAAGAACATGTGAATAAAGTTGTGTTTCATTTTCTTTTTGTAATAACTTAAAGTATTCATATTTCAATTAAAGTTTAAATTTAAACATATTTGTACATAACTGCTTTCAAAAATCTAATCCAATTGCTTATCCTTCTATATATTTGATAAGATTACCAAGTTGAGTTTGGGTAACTAAATGGCTTTAGGAATTTAAAACAATAAAAATTACTATATCTTAAGCGATTAAATTATTATTATCTCTTTCATTGCGTTATGTTGTTAAGACATATTTTATTGTTTTAGATTTCAATAATGAGGAGTGAAATTTATTGTTTATTAAAATGAAAGTAAAAATGGGTGAAGAAAACTCAAATTAAAGGGTAAATATAATAATAATGTTTGTAATACTAAAATATAATATAAAGTGTAAATTTAATAATATTTATATTATTTGTATTTATTATAAATAATATAAATAATATAATAATATAAATTTTTTTATTTTTTTCTTTCTTTCTTTTAGCTCAAGGAGGGAGTCGAACATTTTTGTAAAATATTGGACTGGAACTCACAGTGTAATGAACCTTCACGGTCTGACTGATGTGTATTTTTTACAAATCTTTTCGAAATGTTCAAAATTTCCTACTTTCAGTGAGTTAAAATCTCACATGCTAACTTTCGATATTTTTCACCCATTGGAAAAAAAGATTATACTCTAGTCAACAATTTTAACTTAAAGTCACAATTTATAATTTCATTAACATATAACTTTGATATCTGAAACGATAGCGATATTTCGACTTTTGGTCAGTTGCTAAAAATCATTTAAATGTTTTGTTAAGAATGATACAAACTATACAATTTTATTTCACATATCGTGGGAATAATATACTTTCACATATATAACTGATTATTATTATTTAAAGAACAACATAAAAAAAATAATTTTAATAAAATCGTTTCATCAATTTGGCTTCAAAATATTTTATCAATTTTTTTAAAGAAAAAACAGTTCAACTACAAAATGATTGGGATACCCCGGCGTTTTTAACGATTAAGTTAATACATATATCAGTCAAAAAATATTGATTAAAATTAACACTACGTTTTAGTCGACGGTCTAAAATGGAACAATTCAGTTTCAAAGAACGGATTATATTTGCATTAGTGTTATGTTTTGTCGGTGAGTGATAATGGTTTTGATATACACTTAAATGGTTATGCGAAATCGATTGGTATATTTCAATTATTTAAAAGAAGATTATATATATTATACATTTTATTTTGTGTTATATATATATACACATACATAACAGTGTTCTCAATTTATTTGGCATATATACGAGAAAAGATTTCTTGATTCACAAAACGAAAAAAATCATACGTGAGGGCGTTTACATTTTTGATATTTAAACACATATAGAATTTTTAAATGAACTATAATGAAATGAAAAGTAAAATGCAGCTAAAAAACCATCCATATCTCAAAAATAACTCTTCTAAAATTAAATATACGTTATAAAGCAAATTCAAAATAGTTGAATTTGTACTTAAGTGGATTAGGAAATTATTGTGGTTCAAAGGTAATTTATTGTTGAAGTAAATTTTTACGGAAAACTTAATTTTTTCTCAAAATTCGCGGAAAATTATAAAGTATATAAATACGTTATTATTTTACAAACATTTCTAGCGCATAAAATTACCTTCAATCACGCACTCTTTTTTTGTAATCATCCTTTAAAGGAAAGGCTAACTACTGATTTTATCAGAAAAAAAACTAGAACTATAACAAAGAATAGAATAAAACATAGATATAATGTTAAGTAGAGAAAGTTAATGCAAATGTGAGTACAAATTCCTCATACATACGAGTAAATACTGACCAATGCAGCCAACAGCAAGTTAAAAATAAAGACCCACGAAATTCAACTCTCTACGTATCAATACACCTCTAAAATGAAAAATACCTCTAAAAGAACCTCTAATGTCTAAAAATAAAACCTCTTCATTAACGTGAAGAGAGTTACCAATATTTTACAGATTTCTGACGTTCTGGATATGTATTGCGTAAAACATTTTTTGTTTAATAATTTCAGTATTTTATGTAAACATATTTATTTTATGTATATTACGCCACACCATTCAAATATTTTTCTTGATATGACTCACGTATCTGCAGGTGTCTATAAACCCTGGACTCAAGTGTAAATAACATCAGAACAGCAGTTGGCTTATCACAGCTGTCGTAAATCAAATCATTTATGGCGAAAATTTCAATTACAAATCCACTGCTTATAAAGTTATTAAGTTTATTTTAAACTAATTAGATTATCAAAATTAGGACACTAATTAACTCTAAAATAAAATATTTTTACACTACAGAAACTGTGAGTGGGCAATCATTCCCCTGTGTCCTTAGGGAAACGAAATATGGCAGCGTCTGCGTATGCAATGCAACCTATTGTGATTATTTGGAAGATCCAACACCAGTAGACGATCATGAATTCGTGGTAGTCTCATCCTCAAAGGTATTTGTCGAAATAATATAATCATATTACCGAAAATAAAAATTTTGACTAATTTTATTTAATTTATTTGAAAGGCTGGTCTTCGTTTCGACACAACACATGGACTTTTCAATTTGTTCAAGAAACATTTCATATTCGATTATGATATGCGTGTATCACAAGCGCAAAAACAGCCAGAATTCAGTTCTGATCGTGGTAAATTGATTAAATTGTTTAAAGTGTATAATATTTTTAATTTTAATCGATTTTATATTTTAATTAATAATTTATTTTCGAAGTGAATGATAAGCGTTATGTACATTTGGAGATAAATCGTGAAAAACACTTTCAAAAAATCACCGGTTTTGGTGGCTCACATACGGGCGCCGTAACATATCTTACAGACCAACTGCCGCCAACTTTACAAGATCATTTATATGAGTAAGTTTTAGAAAAACTTTTAATTATTAGTTAATATTTGATATTTTTTAATCAACTTAATTTTTATTTAGATCTTTCTATGCTGAACGTGGCATTGGCTTCAATTTGATGCGCATACCTCTTGGTGGTTGCGATTTTGATTTAAGCCCTTGGGCTTACAATGAATATCCTGAAAATGATGCCGAACTTACTAATTTTACTATAGATGCTAGAGATGAGTTACGTGTTGCTCAGATTAGACGTTTAATAGAAGTTTCAAAAGTAAAAAATTTACGCATCAAAGGTGCAGCCTGGAGTTCACCACGTTGGATGAAATCAAATAATGCATGGACTGGTTTTAGCCACCTGAAAAAGGAATACTATGAGACTTGGGTAAATTATCATATTAAATGGATTGAAATGATGGAGGAACAGGGCTTACCTATTTGGGCTATATCAACTGGCAACGAACCAATGAATGGTGTTTTCTTTATGTATTTCGTCAGATTCATGAGTTTGGGATGGACACCAAAAAATCAGGTAAATATATATTCGTATGATTATTATATTTTATTAGTAAAATAATTTGTTATTATAAATATAATAAAAAAATTAAATTACTCTTTTCACACAAAATTTATATTAATATATGAATGTGCTATTTTATTTTAGGCAATATGGTTAAACGACTATCTGGGTCCAGCAATACGTAATTCCAAGTATAAGGATTTAGTTTTATTTGGTAATGATGATCAGCGTTATACCTATCCGTACTGGTTCAAAATGGTTAGTATAAATTATACCATTATTTGATAATTGATGAAGAAGTATAAACATTTATTTAAACATTTTATAAATATTTATTTAAAAAATATGGGGTGTATATAGATTATAATTATTTTAATTTATAATATGCCTATAAAAAGACCATAATTCTATAATGTAGATATAGAAATAATTGGGTCCGCTACCAACAACCCTCATTTATTAACAATTTCCTACCCTTAATTACAACAATAAAAACTTTAATCTATACATAGTCGGATCAATCGAATAAAGTACGTGTATTGAAGTAAAAGCTAATATCACAATTACATTGAAATAAATTAACTTTGGTTTTGGGAATTAAACTTGGACTTGAATAGTGTACCTGAACCCTCTATATCAGTATATCTCAACTCAAGGACCTGTAAATTATTCAATGTGTTTTGCAAGGACCGATATTAATATTTCCCCAAAAAATTATAATTATGTAGTTAATGGCGAACATTTCGGTGGTGCTAATAGCACGAACCGATAATTAACAAACTATCATCTATTGATTATATTGATTAAAATAAATATGGCTCGTGAAAATACAATATCGAGGTCAAATCTCTTTTGCGAAATGCTCTTATAAATTTTATGAGTTACTTAATTTTAAATAATCAAATAAAATAATAATATTACATAATAATATTATTAATAATTATTACTAATAATAAGTATAAATAATATTATAAATTAATACAGGTATTAATAAAAACAATTTATATATGCAGATGAATTCTACGCGTGAAAATAGTCTCGATTATCTTGATGGGCTTGCTGTGCATTGGTACTGGGATGAAATGGTTGGACCAAGTCTAATGGATGATGCTCTCAAGATGATGCCTGATAAAATTTTACTAACTACCGAATCTTGCATTGGTGACAAACCATGGCAAAAAGCAGCACCACTCTTAGGATCATGGTATCGTGGAGAAAAATATGCACGTGCATATTTGCAGGACTTACAACATGGTTTTAATGGTTGGATTGATTGGAATATAATATTAGACGAAGCAGGTGGACCTAATTATGTTAACAATACTGTTGATGCCCCTGTTATAGCCAATACTACAGGTAAATTTTATTAATATTGTATATGTATATGACTTGAGAATTAATTTAATATTGCTTAATTAATAGATTTTCAGGAATTTTATAAACAACCCATGTTTTATACCATTGGACATTTCTCCAAGTTTATTCCAGAAGGTTCTATACGTATAGAATCAAAACGTAGTAATGTTAATGTTGACGAAATAGCATTTTTGAGACCCGATGGTACTGTTTGTGTTGTCATTTTTAATAGGTTTGTTAATAACGGAGTACTTTCATTGATTTCTTTTGAATTATATTAATTATTTTTATTTATAGTGGCAAAGCAAATGTCGAAGTCAGTGTTGTTGATAGCGAACATGGTAGTATTGTGCTGGACTTACCTCCAAAATCCATACATACTCTACTTTATACGTAGTGGTATTTAGTATTTAATGTGTTATACTGATTTACAACATTAAATTGATTTTAAATAAACATTATTTACATTATTAATAATACAATTTTATTTTATATTACATTAGGGAAGTTCATGGTTCATGGCCTTATATATTTTTTGACCGGGTTTATTCTAAAGTCTCTTAGCATGAGAGTTTTTGTCTTCCTTGAAGTGAGTTTATTTAATGATCAACTTTAATTTTGAACCTAGAATCTTACCATTTAAATTTTATATATGAAATTTTATATATAATTTTATATATGTACCATCGTTTTTTTCTTAATCTTGTAAAGCCTCCTTTTTAGTACAGCATTTAGCTCATTCGGTGAATCATTTTTTATATCATCAATGCCATCTGCCTTAAGTCATCTTTTATGATTTTCCTTAGCTTTAGACACATATCAAACTCAAATGAGATTTTGTCCGGTAAATATAGCGGTTGTCTTTGGTTTTTGTTATGCTAGAACATCAATGATTGTTACTATTTTCTAATCCTTACTGCCCCTTTTTAAAACATTCAGAGCATTTGTGAAATCTTCTAGTCTAAATTGTACAGTATTCTAATCGTTAAATCTTTTATTTATAAATAATTTTCCAAAATCTAGAGTGCATATTTTAATACAAAAATTTAGGACCATTATTTGAAATGTACGTATTTATTTTCTCCACGGAATTCGAAGTCGTCATTAGTAACCGATCCACCTGGAGAACAAAGAAATTAACTTAAAACAGTACTCACAATTATGGTATGCTGATAGGTCCAAAATGGAAGATGGCAGTACGGGAGCAGGAGTTATAGGACCGAAATTCCGCAAAGCAATCGCTATGGGAAAAACTGCTTCCATTTTTCAGGTAGAGGTCCATGCCTTAGAGCTATGTGCAAGAGAATGCATACGAAGGGGCACCCGAGGTACCAAAATATGCATCCTTTCAGATAGTCAACCAGCTCTAAAATCTTTAGCAAAATCCTTATTCCAATCAAAGTTGGTAAATAAAAATGATTAAAAATTGGTTTCATGACAACCACGAGGCACAAAAGTTTCTTTTGTTTTTTAGTCACGCCTTAATATAATTTTTTTATTTTAATTGACTTATTTGTGTTTAAAATTTGTGTTTAAAATTTATGTTTATTTGTATGATGCACATTCATTTGCATTTGTTGCTCTTCCTTTAATTTTTTCTCACGAAGTCTCCGAATAATTTCATTGCGAATAATAATTGCAAATATGGATACTCGAGGACTCCGAATTTACAAGAAATCCGATTTTTTTTCAACTCCGGAGACTTCTTTTACGAGTTGATTAATCGGATTTTCCGATTACTTCGTAAAACTGAATACAAACATACGAGTTATTATACGCAAACAAAACAAATGTCATTTAACTTTCGTGAAACTTGAATACCCTACCCTCTTAATCATTTTTGAAGTTATATTTAGAGAGTTATTATATATATGTGTCACACACACACACACACACACACAAATATATTTATAAATATAATAAGCTTATTTTTGTTAATTTTTCTGGTGATGTGATGTAGTTAACCGAATTCATCTACTTTTCGAATATATCGATCTTAATCCAGAATAAGTTTCATTCGATAAACAGAAAAACTATATTGAAAGAGAAACGTACAAGCGAGTAGTAAAATCGATACTCCCTTATCTGCTAATCGAAAATGCATAGTTGTAAATGATCATAGTCTTCGATATCTTTGTCTTTATGTTACAAACATCTTAGTGAACTTAAAAAGTGAATGTATATATAAAAGGTTCGTAAATATGTATATCAGTACTAAGTAATATAAACTACACAACATATTTCGTATTAAATAGCAATCAGTATCGCTTTAATTGTGACGTACAAATCTTTTTAATCTACATCGAATGTTTTTCATTAACAAAATTTTAAATACTACGAAAAGTAATTATTAAATCTTTATCAACAACGCTCGAGTTGTTATCAAAACGAAAGTAACTAATGCCAAAACAACACTCAAGCGAGTTTATAAACACAAATGACCTTTTCACGTTGATTAAAAATGAAAATAGCATGCGAGAGAAAAATTAACAAATGTGAGAGAAAGAGAGTAGCATGCAATATTAATGAGTTTTGCTTTCCCTTAAACGATTTTTGACTTTTTATTTGTTGTGCTTGATTATATCGAACAGTATTGCATCGGCAGACGAGCAGATGATAGGGGATAGGAAGTGAATTTGTTTTTGCTAACAAAGTATAGTTAACAATGTGAAAAGTTAATTAAATAAAATCATGATATAATAATAACAAACATAACTTAACAGCTTCAATATAAAAATATTAAATGAATAAAAAGTTTTATAAAAATGAAAGTTACGATTTGGTTTCTTTTGTGTATGTATTTTTCTCTTTTTTGCTTGGGTTTAACAGGTAAACAGAGAGCAAGTGGAAGTAGCCTCTCAAGAGTTAAAATTAATGTTTCCAATTTATTTGCAGTTTCAACTACAAAGCCATGTAAGCTACGAGAAACCAATTTTGGTTCGGTGTGCGTTTGCACTGCTGAATACTGCGATTACTTGGAGAATCCGAAGCCTGAAGAACCAAATCAACTGAATATCATTTCTTCAAGCAAGGTAAGTGATAAGATCATTTGATTTAGATTTTGGTTTTCTTCGAAATCAGATAACTGTATGATATGTGTAGTTTCTATACAAAAGTTGTATATATTGCAAATCGAGTCAAAAAAATAATGCTTAATGATAGAATTATAATCTCTGTATCTATGTATATACATTTATAATTAAATGTATAGTAAATGCTATATACATACATATGTGTATAAATAAATAAATAGTATACGTGTGTTTCCTAACAAACCGGTAGGATGAAATCTAATCAAAAGGCTGGAGAGTAATCTATATTTAACATTCAGCAAGATACAATATTTCCCGGAGAAGACTACCAAAAAAATTTTAGTCAAAAACCCATAATTTTAAATTTGAACATTCCGAAATAAAATATACATAGGTCTATAATTTTTTTGGTATACGGTACGACATCACTCACAACTGTTATTGTGAGGTACTGCACAAAATTTAAATTTAATTTGAAGTGTTTGATAAACTAATATACATTACGAGGAATGACATTATCAGAGACCTCAAGATTGATCCGATCAAAAAATACATAAAGGATAGAGCCCTAAAATTATTTACGAAAACTAACAGGCTTACCAATACCGCGTTATTGAATTTCAGAATGGTTACAGGCCCCTCGGGGAGGTATGCAGATTCTGAATTCCTGTAACATGTAAATGTTTATTCTTAAGATTGGTAGCATCGCCATAGGTTTTTATTTTAATTGTTAGTACGATCTGTACGATTATTAGTATGAAGTAGGTATATTCATTTTAAATGTATTTTACATATATTATGTAGAGGCAATAAATTGTATTTATACAATTTATTGTCCTGGGTTTGTTTTAAAACTTAAATGAATAATATAAACTATACTCTATTGTTTTACATTTAATGAAAATCTCAATATTAAATAATTTTTAAACTTAAACCTTTTTACCTATAAAGTCAGGGTTACGTTTTGAGGAAACGAAGGGTACGTTTAATACTACAGAAATACTAAAGATTATTGATTTTAGAAGCCAAAGCAAGAGTCTTGAAAATGATTACGAATTTGCAGCCTTTGATTCTATTGCACTTGTTATTGACAACTTCAAAGGAACTGTGCAGCTCAAGACTGGATCCAACACAAGTAAGTAAATCACGAAGTAACATATATTATTTTTTTAAAAATACAACAAAATTACTTAATAAAATATATACCGTATTGTGAGGAAACACACCGAACCGTTGTGAACTTTAATAGCTACTATTGAAACGGTGTGTCAAAGTACACTTTATATTCTCCCTATATAGTATGTCTATATGTACGATATCTCCAATATAAAATTTGAAGACAATGTCGGTTTTATGAAATCGATAGTGTGCGTGTTTTAGATGTGATTTTCGTTTTTTATCTGAGAGTTTTTTCCTAATAATCTACGCTTTCTTAGCACTCATTTCACATGAAAGATATTTTTTATCATTAATAAAAAATACATAGCTTTTAGCTTTATTAAATAAAATCCACAATTATTTATTATAGAATATTTTATATTTAAATACTATATTAATATTTTTAATAGATTCTTCTGGGAAAACATTCAAAATGCGTATGTCCACAATTGAAGTAAATCGAGATAAAAAATATCAAAAAGTTTCCGGATTTGGTGGAGCACTTACTGGTACTGTCTCATATCTCATCCAGAAACTAAACACAGAGGTACAGGATCACATCTACCGGTAAATATGCTTTTATAAATATAACTAAAAATGTATTATATGAATTATGTGACGTATAATAATATACATTGTCTCAAAATAAATATTTTTTTTGAAATTATTAATTATTTTAAAATAATTCTAAATTTTATATTGGCAGTATACTAAATTTACATATATAAATTTTCAAACCTAGGGAGAGTACAAGATTTTGTTTTAAATATGCCTTGAACTCAAATATTACATATTACAATGTATTTGGTATTTTAATAATTCTTGATTTTCAAATTTCTAATATGCATATTGATTAGAATATAGTATAGATCTGGCCATTTGACACGACAACTAAACAACAGTATAAACTAAATACTGAGGGCACGATACCTTGTCTGTCATAACCCATGTTAATTTTAATTCTAATTTCTATTCTATCCTAGTTTATATTGGTACTGTCCTTTCTTCCCTTACATTTAATCACAAACATTTGATAAACAATTAATTTTTTGAAGTTATTTGCTTGATATTTAATACAATATCAAAAAGAATGAGTTTTTATTATATAGACTTGTTTTTATGATTTATGCTTCATTTTTGGAAAACAAAAATTTGCCAACATAGAGAAATCAAATACAAGGACCAATTCAGCATTTACCAAGTTACATGGAAACAGACAAGCCTTGTATGATCACTCCTTTCCCCAATGTTTTAATAAAAATACTCTTTTTTCAAATTATAGTTCATATTTTGCCGAATCTGGTATTGGATATAATATGCTGCGTACCTCTATAGGCGGTTGTGATTTTGATTTAGAACCTTGGGCCTATAATGAACAACCGGAGAACGACAAAAACCTTAGCAATTTTACTAAACTCGATAAACGCGATGAACAAAAAATAGAGCAAATAAAACGTCTGAAGACTATATCTGGATTTCATGATGTAAAAATAATGGCAGCTGCCTGGAGTCCACCAAAATGGATGAAATCAAACAATAACTGGACAGGGTTTAGTTACTTGTTGCCTGAATTTTATCAAACTTGGGCAAATTATCATCTGAAGTAAGTTAAATAAAAAAAAATTTGAACAAATTAAAATATAAAACATAAAATAAAAAATTTATTTGTTAAAATTGCACAAAATTAAGCTATTAATTAAATTAATTAATATTTTGTATCTTTTACTCAGATTCATTGAATTAATGCATGCCAAAAATTTGACGATTTGGGCCATTTCAACTGGCAACGAGCCACTAAATGGAGTCATTGGCTGGTTTTTCGTGCATTTCATGAGCCTAGGTTGGACACCGAGCAATCAGGTAACTATTTTAGTTCTTATATATTCAAAACAGAATAATTTTAATTATTCTTTACATTTAATATGCAATATATTTGCATTTGAAATATTCACAAATTATAATTTTACGTTGAATATTTATATCTGTACACATATTTTATTTTTATAATTATGAAGGCAATTTGGTTGAACGATTATTTGGGTCCTACAATACGAAATTCCAACCATAAAAACGTTTTAATATTTGGCAATGACGATCAGCGCTATACTTATCCGGCATGGTTTCAAAAAGTAAGATACATATAAATCAATATTTATATGATAAATATAACAAAATTAAAAACGAAATAAAGATATTAATAAAGATTACTAATTAATAAATATCTATAGCAATTTGATTAATATTTTATTTTTAAAGATGAAAACCTCACGTCCGGACTCCTTAAATTATTTAGATGGATTTGCTGTGCACTGGTATTGGGATGACATATTCGCACCATATTTAATTGATGAGGTACATAATGCTATGCCTGAAAAGTTATTGCTAAATACTGAAGCTTGCGTTGGAGATAAACCTTGGCAAACGCATGGTCCTGAACTAGGTTCCTGGTCTAGAGCAGAGCAGTATATACGCGATATTTTACAAGACTTGCAACATAATTTTAATGGTTGGATTGATTGGAATCTGATACTTGATGAAAATGGTGGTCCTAATTATGTTCAAAATCATGTAGATGCACCCATTATTGTAAACACTAAAAGTGAGTTTTCATATATTATAAAAAAATAAAAAATTAATTATTTGTTTGTTTTCTTCAAAGATCCAACAGAATTTTACAAACAACCAATATTTTACGCTATCGGTCACTTTTCCAAATTTTTGGCAGAAGGATCTGTACGTATTGAAACTACCTCAACAAATATAAAAGTCGATGTCGTAGGATTTCAGAGACCGGATGGTACTCTCGCTATTATTCTATTCAACAGGTAATTATTATTTAATGAGTGATTCTACGAAACAAACAGACAGACACTAATTGCGGATTAATAATTAAAATGAAGAATATTGAAATTTAAAGCAATAGCTAAATTAAAACTATCCAAATCTATCTATATATCCTGTATGTGCGAAGGTATATATATTCGTTTACGTATATATAAATATATATGTCTCTATGTATATATATATATCAAATTTTCTTTTAATGTTTGCTTACATTAAGTATTCTGCGATTTATGTTCATTAACTCATTTATTTTAAAAATTAACGCTATTTTTGTTGTAGGTAAGTGCGGTGCCGCTTAAGTGCTCCCTTTTAATTGCTTTATTAGTCGTCGAAGTGTGCCGCATATGTCTAAATTGTTGCATTTAAAATGTATCTTGTATCTTTTTATTTATTCAATATTTTGTTGTTCTTTTTCGTGCAGCGACCGTGACGCAGTGGATCTCTTACTCAATGACAATGTACGTGGTAAAGTTTGGATCCGTGTACCCCCAAACTCAGTACACACTATTATCTATAAATAAAATGGCACTGTTTATTTAGATGTATTTTTGTATTCTAAATGAATATTTTTATTTTTAATTATTTAATAAGTTTTAGCATATATTGCATGCAATGATCTTATAATATTTATTTTGTAATAATTGTTCTGATATTTATCATATTTTTTCTTATAATAAATTTTACAATAATTCATGCAATGAGTGATTTAATATAAGCTTCCTCATTAAAAATTTAGAGAAATTATTTTTCACGTACAAAATAAATTTTTTATTTATAATTATGTATGTATATATATATATCTTATAATATATATCTTATAATTATATCGTATATACCTATATAATATATTATAAGTTTTTAAAATATTTTATAATTTATTCTACGCTAATTTATTTTTCACATCAGAGACAATAATAAGCAAGATTAATTTTTTATAAGCATTAATCTTTAATAAACTAAATTTTTAAAAATAAATATTTTTATTATTTGTAAATATGAAGAAGTTTAAAAGATCAATACATGTACCAAACTAATGTTAGTGGTATTATACGTTTTGAAACTTCGGTAATTATCAATTAACTATGTTTTAATCAGTATTTGTTATTTTTGACCAATATATCATTTTTTTCTTTTTAAAAGTAAGGTCTACTTGATCATGACTCCATAACTATGAATCGAATATCTTGGAAGAACAAGAATTTTATTAAATATGCCTTTTGGTTCGAAGAAGTAAAAAATAGTTACAAAAATATTTAGCATAAGTTTGTTATATAGATTCTGATATAAATCCTTTTTGTTTTAAAAATTATAAATAAAATTTTATAGAAATTGACTACATAGATACTTACTCATTTCTTTAAGTTCAGTTGATTTTATTTAAAAGTGATTTATTATTAATTAATGATTTATTATATAAAGGTACATATAGTATTCTATTATCTATTTATTTATCTATTTATATTTATTTAATAAATATTTATTTATTTATTTACTATTTATCCTTTATCAACTGACTTTTATAGAAATAATAATATGTATATTAT